GGTTTTTGCTATAGGGCGTGTGTGCTCGCTGGATGGACAGAGAGAGAGAGACAGAAAGCGAGAAATCACCCCCTGGGGGGATGGCCACGCCGCAATCCCTTCTCCTAAATTCTCCTCTCAGGATCTTGGGCACGCACGCACACATGCCCGGTGTGAGTTTTAAGCCACCGGGTCCGGGACGCGAACCGTGGTCGACTACATGGGAGTCCAGCAACATAGCCATTACGCTAACTACTGGTCCCGAGTCACTGGACTCTTAAATGGCCAACCACGGTTTGAGTCTCGGACCTGGTGGCTTGCTTTCTCGTTTTCCCTCTCTCTCTGTCTCTCTCTCTCTGTCTCTCTCTGATGAAAACTGGGAAATAATAATAATAATAAAGTTACATAAAATAATTATTTTTAAAAATTTAAAAATGTAAAAAGAATAGGGCTAGTTTTGTGACATCGTGATCATGCGCTGATCTCTTGTGGTGACGATGGTTCAAATCTTGGGCCCAGTCAGCCTGAAACACGCCAGCCACACACAAGTGTGAGTGTCTAAGATCCAGCCAGCGGGTTGGAGGGAGGGAGTCGTGGAATGACCAAACCCTGCAAAAAGTGCCCCTTTCTTCTCTCTCTCATGTTCATGTGCATGTGCTCTGTCTTAAATAAAGAAAAAAAAAATTTAAGAAAAGAAAAGACAATCAGGGATATTCAAACACAGACTGGGTACTGGAAGATAAGAAGGAGCTAAGATGAGTTTTGTATGGCATGGCGATGTCCTAGAGGGACAAGCAAACAAAAGCTCCTCAAAAGTTGGTGTCTAGGGACCAGCAGTTGGCATAATGGCTATGTTCCTGGACACCCATGTAGTCGACCACAGTTTGAGTCCTGGACCCGGTGGCTTAAACTCACACCGGGCGTGTGTGCATGCGTGCCCAAGATCCCGAGAGGAGAATGGAGGAGAAGGGATTGCGGCGTGGCCATCCCCCGTGGGGGGTGATTTCTCGCTTTCTGTCTGTCTCTGTCTGTCTGGTGAGTGCACGCGCCCTATAGCAAAAACCTCTCCAAAAAAAAAAGAAAGAAAAGAAAAACAATAGTTGCTGTCTAATAACAATTCCTTTCCTATCCTCACCTTTTACCTTCATCCTTAAAGCACAGAGGCTGGGTGTGGGTATGCTAGCCCACTGCTGAGAGATGGAGTGATACGGCATGACAGGCCTGCTGGCTTGAAAACTGCGTTATCACTCAGAGAAATGTTCTCGCAGGTATTTACAGATAAGTGAGTTGGTGTCTAGAATGTGGGTGTTTTAAAGCACATCACTCCAAGAAGAAAATATGTGGGCAGGCAGAGTAGAGGACAACGTCAGCCGGTCTGCGATGGGTACTGCGGAAACCAGGTAACAGGTATGCGAGGCTCAAAACGCCGCTCGCTGTGGTCTGTGTTTGAAATGTCCCATAGTAAATTCTTTAAAAAAAATGTTTTGTTTTTTTTTTTTTGGTCAGAGGATGTGTATGCGTGCTGGAGACAGAGAGAGAGGGAGAGAGAGAGAGAGAGAGACAGAGAGAGAGAAAGTGAGAAATCACCCCCGGTGAGGAATGGTCACACCAAAATCCTTTCTCTTCCATCTGCCCCTCCCTTAAGGATTTTGGGCACGTACATGCATGCACCAGGTATGGTTGTCTTTTTCTATCTTAGAGAGCTTTTTGCTATAGGGCATGTGAACTCGCCAAAAAGAGAGACAGAAGGGACCAGCAGTTAGCATAATGGCTATATCGCTGGACTCCCATGTAGTTGACCGCGGTTCGAGTGCCGGATCCGGGGGGCTGCATTCGAGTCCCGGATCCGGTGGCTTAAAACTCACCCTGGGCGCGTGTGCATGCGTGCCAAAGATCCCAAGAGGAGAATGGAGGAGAAGGGATTGCGGGATGGCCCATCCTCCCTGGGGGGTGATTTCTCATTTTCTGTCAGGCGAGCGCACTCACCCTATGACAAAAATCTCTCCAAAAAAAAAAAAGAAAGAAAGAAAGAGACAGAAAACAAGATATCACTCCCCGGGAGAGATGGCCATGCCACAACCCCTCTTCCTCTATTCTCTTCTCGGGATTTTGGGCACACATTCACATGTGCCTAACGTGAGTTTTAAGCCTCTGGGTCTGGGACTTGAACCGTGGTGGACTATGTGGGAGTCCAGCAATGTAACCATTACACCATCTGCTGGTCCCATGTGCCAGGTGTGTTTTACACATTTCCAGGTCTGGGACTCAAACTGAGTGATCCAGCCGCCTTAACCATCATGCCACAGGCTGGCCCACCCATAGTACATTTTTAAAAATTCTCTGTCTTGGTTAATGATGCACTAATAGGGGAGATAGACATAGTTTTCTTTGTTTGTTTTTTCCCTAGTGGGGTGAACTTTTAGGGCTTTGGTTAAATTGTTATGCCAGAGAATGAAATACTAGATAAGGAAAAACATTTAGGAAGGGAGGGAGGGCAGGAGGGAGGAAGGAAGGATGTCTTTCCAGATCTCTGTCTTATTCCAGATAAAGCTGAGGTCCCACAGGCCCACCTGATTGGCCCACCTTCCCTTTCCCCTTTGCCCACATCCCTGGCCCTCACCGTTCCCTCCCAACTGTTCACCCTCTTCCTCTCACTCCCCCACCTCCTCCTCACGCAGACTCCAGGCCCCCTCTGGCCTCAGAGCCTTTACTCTGGCTGTTCCCTCCACCTAGAATACTCTTCCCCCAGATACAAGCGCGACTCACTCCCTCACCTCCTCCAGTCCTTCGTGTCCCTGGCTGTGAGGTCTTCCCTCGCCTTCATTGTCTCCCTCCTCAGAGCCTCGCTCCCCTGGGGTAAGGGCTTTACTGTAGCCCCAGTGCCCAGGGTAGAGCTCGGCACCTGATCCTGCTCAGGAACACTTGTCGATGGAGTAAGTAGCTGTCCCTGGGCGTGGGAAGACCCTCCTTTAACTGCAACTGAAGCACAATGCTGCCTCCGTGTTGGCTGGACCTGAATTGGAATCTCTGCTCTCCCAATCACCTGGGAGATTTCCCTTATCTGGTCAATGGGTTAAAAAACATTAACTTACGGGGGCCAGCAGGTGGCATGGTGGTTAAGACGCTGGATTCCCACAAGGTCCACCATGGTTTGAGTCCTGGCCCTGGTGGCTTGCCTTCTCTCCCTCTCTCTGTCACTCTCTGGTTAAACTGAACTGAATAAAAATAATAAATAAAGTTAAATAAATAATTATTTATAAAAGCAAAATGAAGCATTAACTTGGGGGCCAGCAGGTGGCATGACAGTTGGGGTGCTGGACTCCCACATTGTTGACTGCAGTTGGAGTCTCAGATCTGGCAGCTTTCTTTTCCTCCCCTCTACCACCTCATGTCTACCTGGTCAAATTCAAAATAATAACGAGACCAGTAGATGGAATAATGGCTACGTCACTGGACTCCCACATTGTTGACTGTGGTTCAAGTCCTGGACCAGCAGCTTAAAACTCACGTTGGGCACACATGTGGCGTGCGTGCCCAAAATCCTGAAAGGAGAATGGAGGAGAAGGGATTGTGGCATGGCCATCCCTCCTGGGGGGTGATTTCTCGCTTTCTGTCTCTCTGTCTCTCAGACAAGAGCACACACCCTGTAGCAAATATCTCTCTAAAATAATAATAATAATAAATTAAATAAATAGGGACCAATAGATGGTGTAACAATTATGTCACTGGACTCCTACATGGGTGACCATGATTCAAGTCCCTGACCCGGTGACTTGAAATTCATGCTGAGCATGTATAGTTGTGTACCCAATATCCTGGGAAAAGAATGGAGAAGAAGGGATTGTGGCATGAACATCTCCCTGGGTGGGAGAGGGTGATTTCTCACTTTCCCTCTCACTGTCACTGTCTCTGCTTCTCTCTCCAGCAAGCATACGTGCCCTAAGGCAATAAAATAAAATAGAAAAACTTCTAAAAAAAAATTGAAAAAAAAAAACTTAAACAAAACATTAATTTTGTGTAGTGGTTGGGGTGCTGGTTTCCCAAACGGCCAACTATAGTTTGAGTTCCAGCAGCTTGAAAATCACACTGGGCACATGTGTGTGTGTGCATGCCCAAAATCCCAAGAGGAAAATGGAGAGGGGATTGTGGTGTGGCCATCCCCTTGACCCCCAGGAGGTGCTTTCTCACTTTCGTTCTCTCTCTCTGGCAAGTGCCCACTCCCCATGGCAAACAGCTAAAAAAACATTAACTTCACAGGGCTTCCTGGAGGGTCCGGGCAGCTCATTTGCTCAAAGGCTTACCTCGTGTCAGCACGTGAGAGGGACTTGGGAAGAATAAGGGTTATTGTTGTTGACAGAGATTAAGAGCTCAGGCTGAACTGGCTTGGCCACCAGCTTGCTGTGTGACCCCGGGTAAAGCACTTCACCTCTCCAAGTGTCGGTTTCGATCTTTGTCATGACCCTATGGGGTCATGATGATGATGAGGGTGGTGGTGAGGACAATGACAATATCTCATGATGGGCTGTGAGGGAAAAATGAGCTAATCTATGTGAACCATGTACCGGAGTCTTCCAAAAGTTCATGGAAATAAACAGTGTGTGGTCGGAAAACTCATGACATCGTTTTTCTATGCAAAGATGTGTTACTATTTTTCAGACAACCCAATATTATGAAAAAAAAAAAACAACCCAATATTATGAAAAAAAAAAAACCTGCATGGATTTCAAAATGTTGGGGGACCAGCAGTTAGTGTAATGGCTATGGCGCTGGACTCCCATGTAGTCTACCGCGGGTCGCGTCCCGGACCCAGTGGCTTAAAACTCACGCCAGGCGTGTGTGC